GATCACCCCGAGTGACATGACCTCTGCGGTACCGGGCAAAACTCCGACTGCCCCACTTCTGCTAAACAGGTGAAAATAGACTCAGAGCAACAGGACTTAGTGCTGCTAAAAGTTTGATTTTATTTATTTTTTTTCTGTTTTACTTGCATCTATTTGAAAGAGTGAGTGTAAACACAAAAGAATATTTTATTGTATAGCTGGAATATACAGAAAATTCAGTGTTAAATGTTAAACAAATGTCTTCAAGTCAGAGACTGCTGCATATAATTACATTTTTGCTTGATGCAATGTACATAAAGTTGAAAGATTAAAACTAATAGAACAATTTTTAAGAAGCAACTTTTTCATTTGATTCAATTCAAAAAATAGAATTGGGCTGAAAGGTCTGTTGCTTTATTACGTATTCAGGTTGTGTATCATGTTTTTATGAAGTAACTAAGTAATAAAGCAATTAATTACTTTTAAAGATAAGTAATCCATAAAGTAACAAGATTACTTTCTTGGAGAAGTAATCTGTAATTAGTAACTAATTACTATGTTCAAATGGTCACAGCCTATCTGAGTATTGTTTCCATCCATTTATGTGGCGTTCTTCTGATCACTGCTTTTCAGCAGGACAACATACCAGAATCACAAAGCTGAAAATATCTCAAACTGGGTTTTGGAACATGTCAATAAATTCTGTTGGCAGCGTGGGAAAGTTGGAGCGATAAAGCTTTGATAGGTTTTTTACAAGATAATACTTTACTTATGTCATATTTTGAAATTCTAATAGTCGTAAAATAAAAAATTATCTCTGTCTGGCTGGCACTTTTTTTTTTACAAGATGTTGTCTTCGTCTACCACCTCTAACTCCACCACCTCTGACCCCAAACATGTTGCCCTGGAGACCTACTGGAGGGAAGTACACAGCATTGAGGAAGAGAAGGATGGGGAAGAAGAAGAGGAGGAAGATGAGAGAAAGAGTATGGATGGTATGTCAAACTGACAGCTGAGTCAGATGTCATCTTACTGTTCGGATCCTACGTGATTTGTTCCTTTTAGAGGTGGAGCTTGAGGAGGCGTGGCTGACAGATGCGGGGTTGGCTTCCCTGGTGACGGGCTTGCCATTGGCAGATGAGGTGCCACCGCCAGCTGAGGTGCTGCTGTCCACTTTGACACATCAACAAGCAACCACTGTGAGGAAGAGGCTGGATAACTATAACGAGACACTGAAGAAGAGAAACAGACAGCCAATCAGAGATGTCCGGGATATCTTCACTGAGGTGGGACACAAACATAGAAATGCATTTTATATTAAATGCAAAACAAATGTGCAACACAGATGTAGACATATTTTATGAAATTGTATAGTCGACCATACGTTTTAGAATGTCACAGCAATTTAGATTATAGTCATTGTAAGAAGCTGTGTGTCTTAAAATAATTCCTGGGAAATGTTGGGGCAATAGAAAAAGGCTGTGATCTGCATTTTTTCCCCAACTTTTTGTTCCAGCCTGACGACCCAGCAGACAGATGTGTGTACCCCCACTCCCATCATGCTGAACCACCACCAAGTCGATACCACACCACCACCAAGACCATTCGCCGAAATACTTCCAGAGGTGCGTGTCTGCTCACCTATAAGTGATTCCTGTGGTCCTTTGCAGAGGTTGGTTCTTTATATATCTTTATTTATGCTAGATGCCACCCAGGGCATAGCAGATGATTTATGGTTTTATGGTCCTTAAAACCTCTGATAGACACTGCACTGTTGTGTGTGGGTTTGGTTTATTT